TAATTGTCAATTGTCAATTGTCAATTGGTCAGGTCATGAGACGGACGCAAAAGTATAAATATGTCTCCATCAATCATTGGTAATTGTGAGTACATGTTAGTCTGTAGCAGACTAACATGTACTGACAATTACCAAGGCTGGGTGAGAACCGATCTGTACAGAGGCCATCGAGGCATATTGATATATATTCGAAAAAATGCTGCATATTTCTCAGACTACAGTTTAGATACTAACTTGTCGCGACTGAGCAGCACATGGTCAATCAGTACCTAAATAGAAAAGCTCTAGTTTAAATATGTAGCTATACAGCGTGTCGTTACCATAGAGACAATAAATGAACACACGTCTAACGCTACTTGCCAATAATCATAAAAAAATATTAACGTTAAAAAATCCATAATTAAAATATAATTTTTCAAACTATTTAAGTAAAAAAGAAACAAAATTTGTAACATCCTATACAACTACAACTGACTGATTCATACCTTCAGAGACTTTTTCATTCGTTGCCACAGCGTCGCATTACAAGCCTCTTCTAATAACAGTAGGTACCAAGCTCCAGAAGATCCGCAGCCAAGTGTTTGCTGTTATGAGATGAAACACTCGCGCTCATCACGCGCATATTTTATTTTCATTGGCGCTTACAACCTCCGGTTTGAGTAAGTTTAGATTTTGGTAAAACGGAGTCGGCGTTGGCTGTACTCCAGGATTTAATTTCGTAAACACGTCCACGTCTGCGTCCGAGACTGCGTTCTTGACGAAAAAAGTCCACGGCCTCGCGTTAATATGGCAGTTAATATAACAAAGAGGCGGGATGTCGTGAAGCTTGAAGCGATGATATAATAAGCAATAAAGGTTTATTGGAATGAAAGTTTTGGCTCATGCACAAAGGCCTATTAAAATTTCGGATTATAACTGTTTGCTCTGACCAAGCGAGTCACTTGGCCAGGGCAATCAGTCCTTGGGTCACCGACTAACATACTATGCGAGAGGGTTTCGTACTCTAGTTCATGTAAATCTGTTTAAAGCTCATTCGAACGCAAAAACTCTTTGTGGCCGTGTTCAATTTTTTTTTTGGAAATTTTATGATAAAATGAAATAACATTTACGGGATGTCTTGATGTTTGTTCGCCATAATGATTTCGCTTGCAGTCTTAAGTAACACAGTATTAAGCACCAAGCAAATTCCAATATCTAACATACAGATAAATTTCTTCTTTACGTCTGCCATTTTTCTGATCTACCGCTTGATTAAACAGCGTTAAAGCACCTTTAGTCCTTTATTTTTTGTCATTTAAGCTATTAAGCATCAGGTTCTATTAATACAATACTTTTACATTAATTACTTAGAAGTACGAGGGCGAAGCCGCGACTGAAAGCTATTGAATACAATAGATTGGAGTGTTTTAAGCAGTCACTATTATCCCACCAACAAGTTCCATATGAATTTAATAGTTAGTATCACTTGCTCATTAATTAATCCTCAACATTAATAAATAAATAAATATTTTAGGACACATTTTTACACAACGTTATCTAGTCCGAAACTAAGCAATGGTTGTACTATAGGTAGTAGATAACTAATAAACATACTTTTTTTTTAAATAAATACGTATTATACATATATAAAAATCCAGATACTAGAAAAACACTGTTTGTCACACAATATTTTTCCAGTAGAGGGTATCGAACCCACACCCTCTGTGGCAGCAGGCAGGTACACTATCCACTACGCCATATAATGTTCCATTCAAAAAATCTTTCAAGGATAAAAATACTATTTATGATATGGGACATCCAGGGTGCCACTTACATGCCACTAATTACTAATTCAGCCAGAGATGCAGTTAAGGATAACCTTGTTGTGTAGTAGTTTTTGGTACTAACATTGTGTTTTTAGTGATTGCAATGAAAAGGCTATTGAACTGAGGTAACCAGTTCATGTGTGTGTGCGTGGGATTGTGGAATCAGCACGATATCCTATCTATCGCCGGAATGTAAATCGATACCGAAAATGGTTTTTTTTTAACTGTCCGCGATAAATCTTTCAGTAGACGATTGTCAGACGGCGCTGGAAGTTGCGAATAGTTCATCACGCTCACAAATTGTATAGCTAAATTTTTTAAAGTTTTGTAAACGTATGGCACGTCTATTGACAATTATTTTTTATTAATTTTATGGTTTTACAACAAATACATACAAATATAGTTAAAACTGCATAAACAAAAATCTATAAAATTTTATTAACATCATCATAAACATGATTAATTTATCATTCAAAGTCTCATGTGGAACAAAATATTAACCTCATGTTTTATTTATCTTTACTTTAATAGATAACGTTTTCAACGCATTTTTATATTATGAGATGCTTATATCAATTAGTAGTTATGTTTGCATTTACTTAAAAAGTTTGGCAAATCAAAAGAATGCACACCGATCCTTCAAAAAATTTGCATTTAATTTTAAATTTTAACAAAGTTTTTTTAAGTGTTAGTTTATTACGATTATACGTTTTGATGAAAATAACATAACTTTGACGATTTTTTGATTGAACATTTTGATGAAAATAACATAAATAACAGTTTAAATAATAAATTACTTTTTATTGAAGCAAATGCAATGCAATGAAAATTACAATAAACCCTTTAGGCGTTAATATAATAATTAAATTACTAAATTGTTGACATATTTTTTTTATTTATGTGAAAAGTTGCCAAGCGAGCAAGCGGTTCACCAGATGTTAAGTGAATATCGCCTCCTATGGACATCAGCTACACCCAAGGTTTGCAGAAGCGTTGACAACTTTTTGAAAATTGGGCTCCGGCTACCTCACCAGACAAAACGCGAAAGTATATAACTACTTTTATCGCATCTATAAATTTTAAGATATAGTGCATTCCAGAGTCACGCAGCTTGCAGCATTTTTTATTTTGGTTCGAATAAATAAATAATTTGATCATCGATTTCAGGGTATAAAAGATGGAGCCATTACTAAAGATCGGTTTTTATTGATTCTTTATGAAAAAGAAAACGATTCTTAATTTATCGACCTGAACTCGCAAGCTCTACACCTCAAATTGTAAAACATATTATTTAAGATTGCGCACATCTTCTATTTCCAAGATGTACTTAAAAACACCATGCGTTTATTCTGTTAATAAAATAAAATCGTCTAATTCTTCAGCGTTGAGTAGTGGAAAAAAACCACAACAGACCTCGAATGAATGACTAATATTAATGTTACAACAATATTGTGTACAGTCAATGAAAATTGAACTTAATGTTTATGGCCCTACAATTCAAAGCGAATTAATTTTGCGAAGACGCCGTGCATTCCAATGTATACACATCGTTATTTTTAGTATTCCGTACCGAAATCTAAAAAACGTGTCACATTTATTTAATCTGTTTTCGAAAAACCCATAACTACTACTGACATACCTTCTAGTTTTTTTAGATATTTTTATCGTATTTAAATGTTACTGGCCCAAAATGAATTGCATTAAAACAATATTTTAGTAAACCAAACAACCGATTTATATTTTTTTAAAATTATCTGTAGGTAACAAATATCTCGTTCGTGTATGTAAATAGGTTCCTAGTTCAGCTTTCGAATATGCTTTAAAGCCAAACAAGTATCTAATTATTATTTTATAGAAATCTTTTTATTTTAATATTTTTATTTCAATTTTAATAGTTCAATATCATTAACACCTTTTTAAGAGAACAGATGTATTTTAGGCAGTTGAATTTTTTAATCCGTTATTCTACTAGGCTTAGGGTCTGTACATAATTGTTAACTCTAGAGATATTTTATCGTCTTATATCGTTATGACTTACTTCACATAAATTTGATTGAAGCTTACACGAATTTGACTGTAACTCTAATGAAACCACGCCAACAGATTCTTTAATTTGCGTAATTGTTCGTTTACATAACTATATAAGAAACTAAGAGCCGAAAATTCTTTTCAATGTTGTCGTTTCTTTTTACACTTGTGCTTTTAATTTAAATCATCAATTATGATTAAAGAAATAAATTAAGAAAAGTTTTAATGGGGACAATTTTAAGAAAGAAAGAGACGGCTCCATATTAGCCAGTGCGTTTTTAAAAAGTTCCTCGCAAACCTGAGGGGTCAATGAACTAAGAGTCAAGGCCATTGAATCTAGGCGAGAGCGTCGTCTTTGACGTGTCCTTCATTAACTCATTACGATAACATTACATTATATTACGAGCATTACGTATTTCTTAATGTTATTAAACAATAAATAACAGAAATATACATTTTTATATCTCTGAAATTGCAACATTCACGTATTGCTCTACTAATAATAAAGGTTTGAAATATATTATTATTCATTATTCATCCAGGTCGACATAATTTAAAAATGCTACTGTAACAATTTATTTATGTGCTAACAATACTATCTTTATGCGTAATGAATAATAAAACGTCGTCGCAAGCGTTCCGAATATAACTAGAATGAAAATACAATATTTTTGTTAAAAGAGTTTTGTAACTTTTTTTTGAAAATTAATGACAATGTTTAGTAACTGAAGATTTATCATGCCATTTCTTTGTTGCAGATTCACCCATTGACTGCAGCGGTTGAAATGTTGCCGACACTAAAACTTTAATTCCTTATGTCAAGAAAGCACACAGCGATTATAACTCAAACGCATTATAAATTTGAAAGTGTGTTTTTCAAAGGTGCGCAATCGAGGACTAGCCGGTCCTTGATGAACCCGACAACCTACAACCCTTGCGCTCGTACCCTTTGTATCTCCAAGAAACCTTGTCGCTACTCCGCCAGAGATCCTAGATTAAGACACTGGTCGAGAGAACTAACCGTCTTATCAACTTAGGCGGTTCCCCTCGCTATTGGATCACAAATCCAATATCGGTATTTACTCATCATAGAGCTCGTTTAGGGACACCAGAAGTCAACGAGTGCATAGTTAGTCCCGTAAATAGAGGAACTCGCTCGGGAAACTAATGGAATCGCCAAGAACCCACGCAAATGGAATCCCAGGGAAAGAAAAAACGATCGAGTACGTACACAAAGTACCGTCTGAAGAGGAGAAGACTACGTCACCTCTGCTCAACAATGCGAATGATGTCAAGTACATAGATTCAGCCAACGATGAAAATCACGCTGGGAACGATTTGAAGTTAACGGAGAATCACTTGAATTCAAAGCAGACCGAGACCAAAGAAGAGAAAAGCCCGAACCATCTTTCCGTTGGTTACCACAAGGGCGGTGACGAAGAGGACGACGAAAAGTCGAATAATGAAGGGGTCAAGTTTTTTGGGCTGGACGATGCCGACAGCATCTGTTCCAGCAAGCCCTCCGCCGATCAGCTGCCGGAGATACCGGACGGTGGCTGGGGTTGGGTGGTCGTCGCGGCTTCGTTTCTCATCGCGACGGTTGCCGATGGCTTGGCGTTCTCCTACGGCCTAATTCATAATGAGTTCGTTGATTTCTTTCACAAGAGTGAAGCGAAGACTTCACTCATCGGAAGTCTATTTATCTCCGTACCGCTCATAGCGGGTCCGATTATGAGCGCTCTGGTGGACAGATACGGCTGCCGAAGTATGACGATCGTCGGTGGTGTAGCCGCCACGATCGGCTTTGTTGCCGCTGCGTTCTGCAACTCAGTGGAAGCTTTATATGTCACGTACGGCATTGTCGCCGGATTGGGAATGGGCTTGCTATACGTGACTGCTGTCGTCTCGATAGCGTATTGGTTCGACAAGCGTCGGAACTTAGCGGTGGGTTTAGGGTCCTGCGGTGTGGGTTTTGGCACTTTTATTTACTCCCCCTTAACGACGTACTTACTGGAAGAATACGGTTGGAGAGGAGCTCTTCTATTACTTGCGGGCACTGTACTTAACGTTTGTATATGTGGCGCTGTTATGAGGGACCCGGAATGGTTGATTATGGAGCAGAAGAAACAAAGGAAATTGAGCAAATCCAAAAGGGCATCCAGCTTTATGTCTGTATCAGCGAAATCAGGCGGTGGTGAGTCCGTCTATCCCGGTGTGGAAGAGTTGAAGACGTTATTAAAGAGCGGCGAGACACCGGAATATATATTGACGACCCTCGTTGCATCCATCGCTCAGTCCGAAACGTTGGAGGCCGCAACGAAGATGAACGCCGAACTCACTCAACAGAGCAAAGTGAGCTCCGTTATCAATCTACCAACTTTTTTGAGGCAAAGCGAAAAGGTGCCAGCCGAGGTCTTAGAGCAGCTGGTGTCAAACAAACGCCTCTACAACATAATCCTGACTAATTATCCATCACTGCTCGCGCTACGTAGTAACTCGGAGCAGAAGTTGGCGATTGAACCGATGCCGGAGGCGTCGAAGGCGAAGCCCGTAACCATGTCCATGAAGCTGAAACTGAACAAGAAGGAGAAGAAAGCTTTTGAGAAAAAACTCGACCATGTGAGGGAGCAACTTTTGCAGCCGATACCGGAGAACAAGCCGGTCGTGATGCCGCCTAGGACGGCGCGCCAGGACTGGTTCACCAGGCAATTCCAGACCGACCACCACTACCTGCGCGACATTAGGGTGCACCGTAACTCAATCATGCACCGCGGCGCCATGATGAATATCGCCAAATACAAGCTACGCGCTTCGTCGTGTCCGGACATTTACAGAAATTCCATGTGGTCAATGGAGGACCAGGAGGAGAAGGTAAAACATTAAATTAACGTATTGTAATGAATCTTTCCTTTTGCCTTTAAGTTCCTTTCATTTAACAATATTACGGAAATCTATGTAAAGTAAAAGAAATAAAAGCGACTTTTTCTTTCCAGACTTGGGGTAGACGTTTCTTGTCTTTGCTGAACAAGACGTTTGACTTCAACATGTTCACGGAGTTCCATTTTCTCATGATGAATGTGTCAACTCTAGTCCTCTTCATATGGTTCATAGTTCCGTACTTTTATATCGCCAATTTTATGACCATGAATGGGTTTTCCGAGACGCAAGGGTCCCTCATGCTGAGTATATTTGGTGTCGCCACAATCATTGGCATTGTAAGTATAAATTATAACTTAATTAAAATTGGTTTATTTTATAGTGTTAAATATTGGTTTTAATCCAGTACAAATCAAATTTGAATCGCATACGTGTGCATTTCTGAACAAATATTGCGTTATCTGTTTGTTGACTTTAACAAAATATCGCCAGCCTAAAAAGTTAATAACAAGTTAGCACACTATGTGGGCTGACAAACAAATTACAATCCACATCAACTGACAATTGATAATTTCAGACAGTTATTATACACGATATGTTTTCAAGGATGGTTTGTTGAATGATAAAATAAAAATTATCACTACATCAAAACCTTGAGCCAATATCACATAACTTTCTTGCAGGACAAACATTGAATTTGAACAGTTTCTTCATTCGCCGAAAGTTATTTGTTTAAGTTTATTTGACCAGAATGATATTCAATTTTTCTATTTGACTTGAACACAAACTATTTAAGATCTTTGTAAAATAAATATGCTTAATTCAAAAAATCACGGGCACAACTCTTTATCAATCGCTTTCCTAACGTTTGCGAAATTTCACTGACGAAACACTAGCAGTGATAAGTAACTTTCAAATATTTACCAGCCTTTTATTGGCATTGATCCATTATCTATCTACATAAATCTCTAAATAAGACACACCTACGCGTATTGTGACAACGAGTTATAAGCCTTATTACCTACATAATTATGTATTTAATCTAACTGTACAATAATTTGCAGGTCGGCCTCGGTTGGATGGGTGACCTGCCTTGGGTTAACGTGACCAAAACTTACGCGCTGTGCTTGATCATCTGCGGCATCACGATCATCCTGTTTCCCATACTGATTCGAGTGATCGATGCCAACGAAATGTACAGCTTCTACATACTGGCCTTGAATGCGGTCATATTCGGTCTGACATTTTCGAGTTCCTATTCCTACACGCCGAGTATCCTCGTGGAGCTGATTGCCCTCGAGCGGTTCACTATGGCCTACGGGCTGGTGCTGTTGTGTCAGGGTCTTGGTCATCTGATAGGACCGCCGATGGCCGGTGAGTAATTTTTTTGGCTCATGATTCCCTGGTCTCTCCCTAGATTATAAACTTTATTCAGAAGGAGCCTAATTACATTTTAATTTCTTTCTGATCAAACTAGAAAAACCTGTACTATGGGGGTTAAGATTAGAAAGACTCAAAACGATTCCGGCTTGTAGAAAGTTGCAAAGCGATACATTATATATTTTCCCAATTTATTTTTCCAACAGCCAAATAATAAGATTAGTCAGTTTTGTATGGCTTAAAAAGTAAAAAACTGTATATACATTTAATTTTGTTTAATTATTCATAGATTTACGTTATTGTTTTTTAATTTCAGGCGCTCTAAAAGACAGGACCGGATATTGGGACGCGGCATTCTACGTCGCCGGTATATGGGTCGTTGTCTCTGGTTTGTTAGTCGGAGTAATACCGTACACGAAGAATTTCCGCATCTGTGGTAACGCACCACTCGCTAAGGATGCTGCCGGCGAACCAGATCCAGGAGTTAAAATTATTATTGCCCATTAAAAATGTGTTGTGTGGCAGCCAATGTTAGAACTAACTTATTTCGAGTTAATTTGATACTCACTGCAAAGTTCTATAGATTAGTCGGTAGTTTTATAATTATGATAAATTTCTCTCCATCTTCGTTACTTAAAGATAAGTGAAAACTGCTTTACTTAAAATGTTATTATAAACATTAGTATACATTAAAAGCTAAATAATGATGAATTTAATTATTTAATATTTATTTACATTTCGTGTTTACTTACGTTTAAAGATATTTTAAGAATAGAATGAGACTTAATTATAATCATTTGGTTTACATTTTCTGAATGTGGGTATGCGCAATCTTTTTTAAGAATGTTTTCATTGTTGTTTTATAAAAAACGATATAATACTAAATTTCCTTTTTCGAATTTATCTATCTTTATACTTAAAATAAGATTTACCTTTGAATTTGTTCATGAAATAAATGTAAAAGTTCCTGTGTTTAATATTAAAATTGCAATAATTATCTTGCATTTTCTAATATTTTTTATTACAATAACTGTATTATATATAGAACAATAGAACAATAGAAATGAGAATACACTAATTATCATTTGTAATATTCTTGCCACAAAAACGCCGATATAATATATGTATAGATTATAGACATTTAACTGTGTATGATGGTTTAAATTATAGTTCAAGTTCATTGAATCTACTTAATTAAAAAATTGTATTTAAACGTGTATAATATGTACTCTCCTTAGTTGACTTATTACAGATTGCTGAAGTGTGTTCGCTTTTTATTGACCTCATTTGATTTGCCGTTTAATGACAATCACAAATTAGTAAAAATAAGTTGCCATATTCCAAATGTTACTAACGTTGGATAGATTAATATATGTGTGAATATAACAAGTTGTAATCAATATTTAATGCATCTCAAACCTCGTTCGTATTTAAAGGAAGAAATTGCATCAGACCATAGTAAACTATATGCTCCGAAATCTCTGAAATTTATTTAGGTTTTACATAGGTACAGAAATTTTGCTAGAAAAAGTCAAAAATCATTCAGAGCAATTGATTATCTATAACACATGACACGTTTGCGATTCGAAACCACGACCCAATAGCGAATATCACTTAGCTAGTTGAATATTATAAATAAACTAGCCAATATTGTCTGAGACAACCGATTTTTCTTAAGATTTGTCAACTAATCTGCAACCAATCAGCTGTAGTAGATGTACATGTCCAGCAGTAATGACTGAACAACAGTTGAACCTCTTGGTCTCTCGCTAATTCACATAAAATATAATATATAATTTCTGCTTATTATTATGTCTGCCAAACCGCAAGTAGGGATGCCGAACGTGAAAAAATATATCGATATATCGATATTTATAAAAATATCAATATCGGCCTTGATATATCGCAGAGAAAATATTGATATATCCATATTTTCCTTTTAGGCCCTGGTATAAAAAAAAAACATATACCAAGTGTTAAATATTTGCACGATCTCTTTCCCGGATTCGAATTTGAAAAAATATCGTTTTTGATACGATTTCCATATTATTATACCGATCATAATATATTTATAAACATTAAATAAAATAAATATAAAATATGTATCGATATTTTTTCGGCATCACTAGCCGCAAGCCGGTAGATTTTTGATCTGGCAAGACTGGTGCTAAATTTTGACTTGAAAATGACAAAACGATTGTCGAATAACGAATGACATTGACAATTGAGATTTGAGATTGACATAATATTTAGGTGCTCTTTGAGTAAAAGTTTTCTGTGGTGATGTATTAAAAGTTGTTATTGTAACTATAGTTGTTTTACTTTTTATGACACGAGTGTATTATATTTTGTGTTTGATAAGTTTTACTAAAATGATTAAATTATATAAGAAATAAAATATTTGAAATGAAATTCAATGTCTAATAGTATTTTAACTGATGACTATGTAATATAATAATGATAGAAAATATAATATAAAAAATAAAAATGCATAAGTTAGTACGATTATTTTAATTTCCGACTCGAGACTCGAGAGTTAAACTGCGTAGTAACATTTTAATTCTATTACAGGGTAGTTCATTTGGATTTAAAAGGTGCACCTTTAAAAGTCGATTATTTAGCAAAAGTAAGTGTTTCAATTGTGTTCAAACATTATTACTTATTTTTATTATAATTAAATGGAATATTATTATAAAAGCCTAATTAAGAAGCATTAGTAAATACTATTATCATATAGGTTGTAAATACAAATTATAGAATTGTCTGGAAACATGTGTGGTATTAAAAATACAATATTATAATTTAATATTAACAATATAATAATAATAATATAATTATACTATTAATTGTTTATATATTGTATTAAAAATACAATATATAAACAATTATATATTTAATAAAATAGTATTTTGGTTCTAAGGTGTTTCATTGTATTAAGTCATGGGGAGCTACAGGAGTGCTTTTGGAATGGGAAGATACATTTCCTTACAAATTGAATTTAATAGAAATTGGAAGTCAAAATGGTGACAGTGGCAGTGGAGGTGATGGTCTTTATAAAGCTGAAGATGTCCAAGCAATATTCAGACTTGCTAAAGATAACTGCCTTGAAGCAGTAAGTAGGAAATAAATATTTTATGGCAAGGTTAAAAAGGCTTTTAAATTGTTTTATTTCATTATGATTAATGAAAAAATAAAATTTAATGAAATTTAAAATTTTACGAAATTTAATTCCAGATACAGCTGATTCAAACTATTGGCCATATGGATTTTGTCTTAAAGCATCCAACTCTTCATGGGTTGCGAGAGGTGAAAAATTCACCTGCAGTCCTCTGTCCATCAAAACCAGAAGCTTTTAAACTTGTAACCTCAATGTTGGAACAAGCTTTGGAAGTGCAGCCCGAAGCTACTTTTATACATATTGGGGCTGATGAGGTGATATGAAAATGTATTTATCTATATATTTTATATCCATATGTAATAATGTCCATTGCTAAAATGTTATGTACGAATTAAACATTTTACTTCTAAATTAAATAATACACAATCTCTATAAGACAATATGCCCCATTAAGCCTGCAATTAGAAATTCAGAGAAAAATGTTTGAATAGGCGGACATCACATATCTTGAAAATATTTTCATTTCCAGGTTTGGCACAATGCTATATGTGAAGAATGTCAAAGAAGATCAACTACTAGTGAACATAAGACTGCATCATTGTACCTTGAACACATTCAAAATGTAATCTTATTCCTAAAACACAAAAGACCAAATTTGACTATCCTCATGTGGGAAGACATGTTGCGGTCAATGAATGTCGAAACTATAAGGTGTATGTACATATAACTTTTGCCTGTACAAATTTTTTGCCTTTTGCCTGTATAAACTTTTGTCCGCTGTATGTGTGATAATCTACTACCAGAAATGTCACATTTAATTTGTATGTTGTTATCAGTGTATCCCAAGTTAAATAGTTATTGTTCATAGATATAACTTTTCATACACATGAATAGTATTAGCAGTTAAGACAGTTATGAATATTATCCTGATATGTTCAAGTAGTATTTTAAGTAAATCTATATCCTCTTTAATACATTTAAAAAGTGTATTGAAAATCTTCAAATTCTCTTAATAACATGATAAATTTTAACTCATGTTTAAAGCTTACAGGCTTGGTGATTTAGTTCAACCAGTTGTATGGCACTATAATCCAAAGGAATGTTTCCTGTTGGATCCGACCATGTGGGATTCTTATGGACAAATATTTCCAAACGTCTGGACCGGATCTGCCTTCAAGGGCGCTAATGGAGCATGTCAGGTAACCTTTATAAACAGTACTTTCATTACATATTGTAAGAAATTATTAATTTTTCATTAAAATGTATTGTTTTATCAAAAGTATAAAACCATATTAATACACTTAATAAAATAAGGTACCAGATAAATTAATTGACATTATCATACCCAAGAAGTACATAAGTTTATAGCAAGGTTATGAATAACTGTTGCTTAAAATTCTATCAAATAGTGTTTTTAATTTATTTACTTGAAATTGTCATCACAACTTTCAATCGGACAGTTTCGTTTTTCATTTCAGGTTTTGTCACCAGTTGCAAGATATATTAGTAATCATGAGGGCTGGTTGCACGAAATTGATAAGTATTCTAGTAAAATCAATTTTGTTGGGATCATCCTTACTGGATGGTCAAGGTAAATTTAAATGCTGCTTGTGGAAAAAAATTGTAACACACTTTCGCTGTGTAAAGATAAATGAAATGAATGCATGAATAGTGTTGTAAAACGAATAAAGCAATATACTGTACTTCACATGGGTTACCCAAATGTCAGTTATAAATGTACAGTTCTGTTATAATACCTTTTGTTTTTAAACGGTTTTATTTAGCTCGACCCATACGGAATTTGTTTGTTTATTTATTTGGGTCAAAATTAGAAATTGAAATTTAAGCACCTTGCCGTTGTCAGATTGATCTGAAATTTGGTACACACATTTAATTTAGATGACAATACAATATTAACAAAAAAAAATTTAACAAAAAAAAAAAACATAAAATAAAACCGTTTAACTTAAAAGTTTTTTAAAGTAATTATTATTTTGTTATAATGTGTTTTAACGACATTACTCCATTTTCAAACAGTTTTCTGTGTAAATTAAGAAGCTGAAATAAAAATCTCGAAAATAATAAAAAACAATTTTAATAATTAAACACAGGATTTGTTATGGTCAGAAAAAATATGTGGAATTGACTCTTACTCTGCGTTTATATTATGATGACTTAATTTTGGTTTTAAAATACAGTATTCATTTGTCAATATCAAGCACCGTGAAAAAATAATGTATATAAGTAGCCATTTCACTGTTAAAGTGGCAAAATCGCTGCTTACCTTTTAATTATTGTGATATAAAATTGTTTTTCATGTTTAATCCTATTTTGGCCTATTTTGTAATCTTGAATAAGAATGTTAGTCCCAATACAATATAAAACATATGCATAGCTTTTAAAAGAAGAAATTATTGTCACACTTTTCCATAAGAAATTTAAACCTGTTAATAAATATAGTTCAAAATATTGATGACTAAACGGCACCGATTTTCAAGTGTTGCCCTATTTCGAATTTTGGGACACGTGTGTTGTGTTATTTTTTTGTTGACGTGGGGGGAAATGCCTTTTTTTACTTGGGGGAAATGTCTACACATACCCGCCCTCTCGGGGGCAAATTTACCCGGCCATGGGAGCCAGGAGAGCCAGTGCCAATAAGCAGCAAGCTTCCCAGCCCCCAGCGGCGTACCTAGTCTGTGGCTCCGCCGCTCACCACGTTTCGGCCGCGGCGGGTAGGGAGAACGGCGCACCGCAATACCGACATTTGTCACCCCCCCGCTACCCCACCACCACTGCATCAGCGGTGCAGCCCCGACGAGTCGCGGAGGATAGGGAGCACGGCCCACACATTACCGACACTCCTCTTCACCCGCGACTCCTCCTCGGTAGCAGAAGACAGGGAGAGTGGCCTCCACCTCTACCACCCTCGACCTGTCCCCTGTAGCCTCCAGCACGCACCCAGAGTGGGCTCAACGAGCCCACTTGGAGCGGACCTCTCGGGCCGGCCTTACACCACAGGCCGGCCCAGTGTTCCTCTTAGCTTTGCCTTAGGTGACCAAGCCACGGCTACTAAGCCCCTCCGCCACGAAGGCGGGAACCCAGTCGGAGGGGGTGTGAATGTATGCCTAGCCAGATCTCCTTTGGAACATGTTTAATACCTTGGTGGTTAGATATCTAGTTCATAAGCTTTTAACTATTTTGATTTGAATAGAGATTGGTATAGATTTCGACATCCATTTTAAGTTTTTCATATAAAGGTGAAACGTTATTTTTATACATATACAGGCATCGCGTTTCTTTGTGATTTCCATACTTATGTTTAAATCAACTTCCAGGTATGACCATTACGCGACGCTGTGCGAGCTTCTGCCAGTTTCATTGCCCTCCTTGAAGAGCTGTCTGCAAGTTTTGATGAAGCCCACAAAGTCTTCGGGTTCGTAATTTCCAATGATTTCTTCATCACCGTCAACGGGCACAAATCTAGATAGTCATTTGTACGAGAAAACGAAACGGTCGGTGTTGCCTGTATGCTTTTCAAAGAGTTGAGCTAAATATATCACTGGAATGGAAAGATCTTTTGATATTAGTGACATAAAGGTATCACTCTATTATGTCAATAGCTCACTGATGTTATATTATATAATTTTTAAACTGAACAGGTACGGTTACATAAAAGAAAGAGAAATTACATTTATCTCAATCTTAATTTTTTGTTATCCTAAAGTAAGGGCAATGTTTTATAAAAAAAAAGCGGTACTTTACGAACCTATACACATAATCTTTGATGTAAACTTTGACGATTCATAAGAGCGCGCAAGCGTCTATTTGAATAAATATATTTTTGATTTTGATTTATAAAAAAAAAAAAAAAAAAAAAAATGATGACTCCGCAGTGCAGTCGCCAAGGGATCGCCTTCGGCGTCAGGGGGTCGTGGGTTCGATTCCCACACGGGACAACTATTTGTGTGACCCACAGATAGTTGTTTCGCATCTGGGTGTTTGTCCGCGTGAAATTTATGTTTGTAAAACGTCCTTACAACACAGGATAATATTATCCCAATGTAAGGGCGATGTTTTATAAAAAAAAAAAACAAAAAACAGGAACTCAAAAACAAAAATGCCAATATACCCGTACACTAACATAATAATGTTACGTAAAACAAATTAAATAACTACACGAAAATAGCTGTTTGTACAAAAAGAGTAACATTACATTTCGAGCGTTCTCGATTACAAATTCTAGCAAAGGATCTATCATCCGAACACGGTAGTTTTGCTATCTCAATCGTTCATTTGTTCAGTGATAAACAGAAATAAATCATATCTCCAGAAATGTGAAGATATAATTTGAAATGAAGCGAGCTACTGATATATCGGCTCTTCGGGTGAGATATATATCGTTTCTATCACTCACTCGCGAGCGACATAACTTTAATGTTCAAGCGAAATGAACATATTTATCATCAACTCTTTAGAGTTGTTCTCATCGAATTATAAAGCATGTGCAAGGTGCTAATATTTTTGAACAAATGGAAATAGACTATTGTGTATTATACTAATTGACGACCCGAATGGCGTAGTGGGTAGTGTACCTGCCTCTTGCGCCAGAGGTTGTGTGTTCGATACCCAGTACTGGAAAAATAATGTGTGATGAGCATAGTGTTTCTCTAGTGTCTGGGTGTTTATATCTGTATAATATGTATATATTTACAAAAGAAAAGTGTGTTTAAGTATGTTTATTAGTTATCAGTACCGAGAACGTTGTGTAAAAATGTGTCCTAAATTATTTAATATTATTTATTTATTTATTTTAACAATAGAGGGCGCTGTCAGCGAAGTCATACCAGATGAGGAGTGGCCAGGCGTTGAGCTGGCGAGATGCGTGCACTCCTTTGTGATCCTGAGAGAGCGCTGCCTCGCTTTCATACACGGCGACATGTAAGAGATTCAAAGTTGAAGTCAGTCATAATTTCTTTATTTAATTAATGTCTTATTGAAGGTCAAAAAAACTACCACCGGTTCACTAAAATAAACCTGACCACAGAAGAACCAGTAAGAAACTTTGCGGTCTTGATATCTATTTTTTAGTGATACAGTTATATATTTTGATTGTTCCGTTGGTGTTTATTTTTTTTAAACAACAGCCCTTACGAAGGATAACATTATACTGTGTTGCAAGGACGTTTGGCAAAGATAAATTTCACTCAGATAAACACTCAGATCCGGATCGAACCCGCGATACCTGGCGCCGAAGCCAATACCGTGGCAGCCGTGCCACAAAGTCATTCAAATCTCATTTAAAACCTATCATCGATAGCTTGCATCGGTCATGGGCTGATTTAAGCAAAACTCTGTTAACGATTTGGTTTTATTATTGTACTTATTAAAAAAAGGAAAAATTCTAAAATAAAACATGCATATAGTGAAAAGAGGTTATTTTAATATTACAAACAGACACTCTAATTTTATTTATCTGTATAGATAGAATTTCAGACGTTTCAAACAAACACTACAATATCTTTGCTTCGTGGTTACTGTTTAATTTTTTATGAATATGTATGATTTTTTAAGTTGCTTTGATTTTCGACGGAGTAGGTAATTGGTTTAGACGAGTAATTCTTACTAACGGCCGTCGTTATATTGTGTGTTCTTAAACGACTTCGTAAAAGGAGGAGGTTCTTGGTTGTATTTTTTTAATGTAACAAACATTAATCAGAATTTTAATACAAATTCAAATATCATTATTCAATATAGAAGAATTACACTTGAATTTATTATTGGTTGTCAAAATAATACTACAGGTTCGGAAAGAAAGCCTGACCTGAGAAGAACCGGCGAAAGAAACTCGGAATTCTTTCATTTATGAACCTAACCTAACCTACATAGGATACCTAGTGTTGGGGTCAGAAAGAAATGAAAATCTAATTAGGCTTCTTCAGAATAAAGTTATTATCATTATTTTAAAAATTGTAGTCTAATAAAAATTAGTCCTACTATAATTAGTCCTATATTATTTCATTGGTATTGAACTTTGGACTCCTGAATACACAAGGAACTCGAAATAAAATAGAAAATATAAAGTAAGATATTTGAAGTAGGTTTTATGTTTGGTCAACAAAATGTACTTTTTAAACCCTTTTCTCATTTTATATCTGTATTTTTGTTCCAGAATTGCAACGTGGCTCAATCCGTGGCAGCTAAGGAATGAGTATACGAATCCATTGCAACTTGAAAATATTGTATCCACATCGAAACAGTAAGCATATTTTTTTTAACAAAAAAATCTATAAAAGTTAATTTCGTTATTTATATTAGTATACTCGAGTTCTGAGATTTTTTTTTAATGTGAAAAGTTGACAAGCGAGCTGACGGTTCACCTGATGTTAAGTGAATACCGCCGCCCGTGGACATCTGCTACACCCGAGGGTTACAGATGCGTTGACAACCTTTTGAAAATAGGCTCCGCCCACATCACTCACTAGACATAACGCGAAAGTATTTGTTATACTACTTCCTCTTTACGATGATGTTCTGTGAGATCGTGGTACTTACCCGGGCGAGCCTGCCCATTCGTGCAACAGCCGAGGCGCCTGCGTGGCCCTACTACAGTTAATTTCTCGACAGATAAACGATATACATACTAATGGGATTTTTTCTAAGCATTAATAAAATAGGAGTCATATATGTGGACAATAATTTTTATAGACAGCCAGTTTGTGTGTGCCGTCTTGTGAATCTATATTGCTTATAATTTTTATTTGATAGGCTGTGTACCTCCATGAGGGTTGCATAGTTTTAATTTAGTCTAAATTGTGAATTTTGTAGATTGATTTTTAGATAAACAAGAGACACACGCACGTACGCAAGCATGCATGCACTCATGCAAGCACGCACGCACTAGCAATTACGCATGCATGCTCGCACGTATGCTTGAACACGCATGCTTGCACGCATGCATCTATGAACGCTCATTCAAATATAATAAAATACTATTTGAAAGTGTCGGGTTAGTACAAAGTAGCTCACTGTTTGGCTGCAAGCATTGCTAAAATTAAAAAAAAACATAGCGAGGAATGGTGTTTAGCTCAGTTGGCTGGAGTGTCTGACCGCGTTACCCAGAAGACGTAGGTTCGAATCCTGCCAGCGTTGTAATACTTTTTCTATTTAAATTATTGATTTTACGCGAATATTATACATATTAAATGAAACCAGCTTGAGGATTTTATCGCGTTTTAATTTTGATTTTTAGTACCCGACGTTTCGAATCCTTTGCATGGTTCACGGTCACGGGAGAATAAAACGCGATATAAACCGTAAACTACTTTCAGTTTATTTTATATATTTCAGTTTCCATATTTTAAGTTGCACCGTGAGTCTGAAAACAGTAATGCTAGTAAGCACCATTAAGAATAAAATACATTTACCTATATTGCCTTGCCCACTTTTCAGTTTGTTGACGGAGCTAACGGCCCTACAGCAGCAGACGTCGGTGCATCTTCACGCCATTACAGGTTGGAGGAGTGCCGAGGAATGGCTGGGAACCTTCCTGGCCCCTTTGGTTCGGCGGATAGCGAGCATACACGAGTCGGCCGAGTCGCGGTTCAAATCCGACGCAAGCGTTCAACCGAAGTGCGTCGCAGATTGTAAAATGGAGTGATTAAAGTTATCAAATAAAACTGTTTACTTTCTTGCACTGTTAAGGTTGTAAACTTATGATGCTAAAATATGTTCCATGCACATTTAAGGCTACGGGTTGTAATTTCCAAGATTTTTAAACGGTTTTATTTAGCTCGACCCGTACGGAATTTGTTTGTTTGGGTCAAAATTAGAAATTGAAATTTAAGCACCTTGCCGTTGTCAGATTGATCTGAAATTTGGTACACACATTTAATTTAGATGACAATACAATATTAACAAAAAAAATTTTACAAAAAAAAAACATAAAATAAAACCGTTTAACTTTTTAGTTTTTAAACGGTTTTATTATACAATTGATTTTTAATTCATATACATACATGTAGCAAATGTTGTTAGGTTATCTGGATATTTGAACATTTCTTGAATGTGCGATCTGCATGGCTAATATTTCGCCGGGTTCAATTAACACACAGAACTAGTATTAGTGTGGCCAATAGATGATTTTGGTGTTTGTAAAAGTGGAATTTGTGTAATTAAAACCTCATTAAACAGGATAATTATTAAACTATATCTATCATACAGTACGAGTTAATTAAATTAAGACAAACTAATAATAAATGTATGCTTGTTTAAAACTTGTTATATTAAAGCATATTTATTTATAACTTTGCTATTAACTGCTATATTGTTATGTCACGGTTGTTCTGTTTTTTGGAACGTGAGTAAAGACTGAATCAACTTGAGAAGCGAGAGCAAGGTTCAGACGACGAAAGGATTGTATGTTCAACTGACTTCAAAAACGAAGGCTTCTCATTCATTTCGGTTGTATATTTTAGGGTTGTCACCTAGAAACAAGCTATGAACTGATTTAAAAAAAAAAATTTGCAATAGGTTTAGTTTAGCTCCCATTACATTTTTATTTAATTTTTATTAGACTTACGACTCCGGATATTTTTTATGTGAGAAGGTGACAACCGAGCTGGCAGTTCACCTGATGTTAGGTGAAGTGAACAGCCGCCCATCGAGACTTGCAACACTCGCAGGGTTGCAGATGCGTTGCAACCTCATAATAAAGGGGGCCCCGGCTACCTCACTCGCCAGACGAAACGCAGAGGTGTAACACTTTCACTCCACAGCAGTCTTCGGTGAGGTCGTGTTACCTCTTCAGACGGACCTGCCCATTCGTGCAACATCGAAGACTTGCGTGTACCACATTTCAAAGCGGTTAAGTTTCTTTTGTTAATAAAAATTATTAGTTTTATTCTTGTCTTCTTAAATTCAAAAAGAGACACAAACATTTTTTTCGTCAACAGTAGAGGATATCACCTTCAGGTTTATAATATAACTAAGGTAACAGAAACTGCTTTAATAACTGGCAGGTTATGCAGTTTTGGAACACTAAGTTACTTTCCGAATAAGGTGTTTTGAGGCGCAATCTAAGATTGTTAGGAGAAATAGTAAGTTCTTTGTCGTCAGTAAGTACTTTACTTTTGATCTTTTTGGTATTTGGGTTGGATTGGAGTTTGTGTCAATCAAAAAACCTATTCCATTCATGTAGTTAAGGTCATTTATTTAGCCAAAAATAAACGTTTACGAAATAAACGTAATTGTTTGTAATTGTTGTCTCAGATATTTTAGGCATTTGTTACGATAACAAAAATCGTAGTCTATAGAATGTTATGTTATTATGTTTCTTTCAATTTGTCTTGTCCGATGATTAAATAAAATGCCGTTAGCTTACTTGAGATAACTGTTTGCAGATTTTTCAGAAAATTTTTCAATTTCTTTTTTTTTTAAAGCTTTCTCATGTATTGTTAAATGAAGAAATACTAGTGTTATGATCAAATATAATTGTTAGATGCAATCCGTAGTTTTTTTTCCTTTGATCATAATTAAATTTATAAAGTTAGTTAAAATGTCCTGTATGTATTCACATCAGAGTTAAAATTTGTAGAAAAAAAGGACAAAGTTTATCTCCTCTGCGGGAATCAAACCCATGTCTTCGGGATTTGCGCCCAAACGGTTTAACTGCTAAGCTAAACAGACGATTGCCGCACCAACGAATAGCTCAACGTCTTTTATCTACTCTGTTTTTTCGCATTTCTAGCAATGCTTGGTAAATGATATTAGGTCTTTACCTATAAAGTTGCCGTTTTGTATGAAATAAGTTTTTTTTTTCAATTTTTTTTTATTCTTTTTTTATTTAAAGTGGTATTTTATTGATGCCAAGTGGGTATTTGTGCTAGCGATAAATAAAAATACTATATACAATTCGAAGGTTCATAAAAATACTCTTTATCCCTTTTGATTGGTTCAGTCTTGAACAGCCAAAGTATCAAATGGAAATTTGTTATTGGCAGGCTTTACAGTGACACCCACATCAGCTAAGAAAAGACAGCATGATACGTAAAAGATGGTAATTTAACAACAAAGTTAACTACTTAACTAATTTTTGTTAACTCTTTAATTAATTTACTTAGGACTATACATGTTTGTTCCTTTGTTGCTCTAGCAAGACACCAAACGCGTGGTCTGTTATCGATGATTTACGGAACAAAATTCTATTAAAACAGCATATTTGGCTTTTACGAAAATTTTGGCTATTACGCAGTCGGTTTTTTTGGATTGGGGATTCTACATACAAGTTTGATGAAGCAGAAACATGAATCAAGACAGAAATTAAAAAGTCATAACAGAACTGTAAATCACTATTTCAATTTCGTCTAACAATAACCCTAAAGCATTTTTGCTAAAACAAAACAACAAGAGAAGATCGAAAAATCACGGAAAATTGAATTAAAGTACGTATTAATACCTTATTGTTAAACAATAAATTGCCCTAAGTTCATACAGAAACAAGAATTATAGGTTGGAATAAGAGTAACTCTCTGTAGCAGTTCACTCGAACGATAGCTGCTGAGTGAATTGATTAGATCTTATTAAATAGTTCAGCGGTCAAGTTCCTTACGGATTCTATTACAGATGGTAGGCGATAATTTGACGTAATTTACGGTAAACTGAATCGTTAGCGGACGTATAAATTATGTCACAAAGGTTAAAAACTCATTACTCTTATCAATGATATTTAATAATATAGACGACGCATGTCCATACTGCGTGGCGTTTAAAAATTATTCCGCTTTACATTATGCGACATTTATAAGAGAATGTGACAGATGATATAGAACGTATAATAAGGAAGGATATAGCATTCTATAGAATTGCAGTCTGATTATACCAATTGGTGTAATTTGAGTGCCTTAGTTTCGGTGCACTAGTGTCATCTACCTCTTATTTGTGTATAATATTATTGACTGTTATTGAACGAAAATTGTTTATTGTCGAAGACTAATTTAGTGATTATTTTCCCATTTATTTGTATATCTTAGTCTTCGTGTTCTAAATTTTTTATCATTAATATATTTATTATTAAGTGATGCCGAAAACCTAAACGCTGGAGATAAAAATTTTTAAACATCAAAAAGAAACAACTTTAAAAATCTCAATCACTATATATTTTGAAGAGTTCCCTTTTGTGACTTCGAAATCGAAGGGTCCAATGCCCATAAATTTAAAATAGGACCTCGAAAATATCCAACAAAAATATTTCTAAATCAGTTTATACCTAAATGACGGAGTTTTGAGAAAACCCTCATAAAAAGAACGTACAACCGTATTGAGAACCACCATCTTTATGAAGCCCATTACAAAAGCTCTTAAACGGGAAACCTTATTCTTATAATAAAGATTTACATGCGCAATATTTTTATTGAAAAATACTGTTTAATCTAAATCATTATAAACGTTCATTTTATGTTGAGGAGTCTTATTTCTATAATCTTCAGCAACATAAATATATTTTGTACATTAGTACCTAATTGATTTGTTTGTTATTGTGTCTTGTGCGAATAATTATAAAAAGTAACATGATATGAAAAGTAGCTACTTCCAAGATTCGTTTGTTACACAAACTAATAATTGATCTGTTTTCCTTGTCTGAAATCTTGTTAATAGCAGAATACTACGGAATAGTCGGACTGATGATAAATATATAATTAAAAAGCAGTAGGCGAAATTAACACAATTAGGAAGGGCAAATTTAAAATTTAAAAGGTTTGGTTTATTTGTTTTAAAGTGGGCAATGAGAATTAAAATTTGGGTGTAACTAAATTAAGACTGTAAGCTACCAACAGTACATTTCTTTAGTAGTTCAAAACAAACTATTTAGGTATATTCAAGTCTTTAAATTACATTTTAAACACTCTTTTCTTTTGTACTATGTATTGAATAAAACTTTCTGATTTAAATTCCTAAAATAAATATTAAAAGTTTAAGTAATAGAATAAAAATTATTCTAGGCATTATTATTTGACTCAAGTTAGTTGTTACATATAGAATATTTTAGGTTATACTTGTGTTCGCGAAATTTCGAAAGGGTTGTGAGACTTATTTACTTCAATATTTTATTCGTATATTTCATTATTCAAAACTTAACAATTTTCCAACCTTACCGTACTTTAGCATTATAAGTGTTTAAAAATCACAAAATTCTTAACATATAAAAAGGGAATATTGTTACATCATTTCAAACATTCTTAAAGATTTAACTTGCACAGCGTATTACAGTTACACGGCAACCGTTAATTGTTTTTGTTCGCACTTTTATTTAATCCCAAAATATTCCCGGTCTGAATCATATATGACCTTTGTGTGTATCTCATAATTCATACGAGTATCGTAGTATCGTATTACCCCTAATGAGTCTCGTAAGCGTCCGTCGACACGTAAAACACGCCGGTGGAGTTGCCGGGATTCGAGTAACCGGCGATGGTCACTTCGTTCGCGGCGCACTTGCCTTTAGCGAACGCCTTGTATGAGTCGCAAGCCCACGCCAGATACCAGCCGGGGTGGGGGACGGTGTCGGCCCAGTATTTCACGCAGGCCTTGTGGCTGCACTTGGCCGCTTCGGACTCCCCGTACGCGGGTATGTAGCCCTCGTGGCAATCGGGCTGTTTCCTGCCCTTGTTCAGAAAGAAATCGGCGTCGGCGAGCACGGCGGTCGTGCCCAACCCGCCGGCGTTGCAATGGTACACCTCGACGTACTCCGCGACGCCAGACCTGATCTGGTCGTCGATGAAGCTGTTCGAGAAGCAGGGCCCGGCGGGGTCAATGCCCGTGATCCGCCAGATTTTCTCGGTGGTCCTATTTGTGTATGTGGTGCCGGCGTACCCAAGCATCTGTGCGCCCAAGCTGTGCCCGATGCAGTGAATCTTGTTAGACGGATATCCTTTGCTGCGGATGTCCGCTAGTAAATTACCCAACCTCTTTCCCAAAGAATACGCGTACGTTACCGACCTCTCGTAACTCTCCCTCCTACCGCCTTGGGCCGATGTGTACGCCGAATGGTCTATTATAATTAGATAAGTGTCCGGTACGTCTCGGAACGTCTGTCGTATTAATTCCTCGGTTTTCTTGTTAATGTTGGATTTATATCCGGGCACGAAGAATATTAGTTTCCGTGTCACATCCAGATTGTATGAGCTCGTTAGGCCCATAAGGGCGTCGTCTATTTTATAACTGGCATTGTAGTTGTTTTTAAAATCGTAAAAGTATACGTCCGTTTCGCCGACGTAGAGTTCAAATGTTTTGTTGTGGTCACCTGTAACGATTTATTACAGGGTTAAAAGTTTGATTGAATTAAACAAATCAGTAAATTATGAATATAAGGTCAGGTTCAGTTTATCACCATTACGATGCAATATATTATTGAAAATCACAGAAATTACATTTTAACTAAAGATATACTATTCTAATAACTACCCAACTGAATTTTTTTAAGTGCGGTTGCAACAACCTTGGCTGTTGCACAGACGGGCAGGTTCGCCTGGGTAAGTACCACGACCTCACGGAAGACCGGCGAGAAATGGAAGTGTTATACTTCTGCATTTCGGCTGGCAAGTGAGGTAGCCGGAGACCACTTTATTATAAGGTGACCAACGTATCTGCCACCCTACGGGTGTCGCAAATATCAATGGGCGGCGGTGATCACTTAACATCAGGTGAATTGCTGGATCGTTTACCACCTTCTCACATATAAAAAACAAAACCTAGCGCCGGCCAATGGCGCAAAAAGAAAGCACAAAAGTGCAACAAAGATTAAAGTTAAAATACATTTAAAGCTATTGACCTGGAATCGTGTAAATATAGCACGTGACTAATTCAGCGGACCTACTGTCGGGGTCACCGAGACTTGTTTTAACATGAGGCCTTTGGCCTGCTATGGCGACGTCTATTAGAATCGTTATCAAAAAAGAAAGAAAGAATATTGATGTTTTCGATAATATTAATATTCAGCATCACATGTGTGTTGTCAAAGTGTATGAAAACAATTTGTAAAACTTTCTCATGTCGAACTGGTGTTAATTCAATTTCTATTAAGTCTGTTAAACAAAATGTTTGATGTTACCTCTTCATTAAATAGCCGATTTCGATTGTTGATTCAAAACAGAATGTACTTAGATATTGACTATTGTTTCCGGAACCTTTATAAATCACCATTAAGTGACGCTTCTATTAATTATTGTATTATGTATTCACCTATCAATACGTGGTGAATTGAAGTAACAAAATAATGTTGGCGTTTAATAAATCCGATGTTTTGAGCAGTCAGCACACATATCGTCAATGAAAATTGTTATGCGAATTGAATTTCATGTAACCGGATCATTTGTCGATGGGAATGCATGCGTAACTATGTTAAATGATGTTACGGAAAACTGCGAGAAGTGTAATGGTCACTACAATTCATTTACGGCGTAATTTGGTTTACGGAAATCCGTACTTTCTGTCAACGCCCTTCGAGGACTTGAATATGAATATTATTTACTTTATATTGCGATGTAGAGCTGTTTATGGTACAACGAATAAGGAAAGGGGGAATAACTGAAAGGAGGAAAACATTACATCTACGATGCCATTGAGAGAAACCTCATATGTATTATATACACGTTATGGTTACATATTCGGAGGCGACTCTAGGCCAACCTATTATGTACGCCTTTGTATTAAGGTTACTATATTCTGTCGAATAATAACGTTACTTAAATAATCTTTCCATATTGTTTGGTTTTAAGTAGTCTGCGTAAATCGGTATCCAATACATGTTTGATGGAAGAAAAACTTACATGTAACGAAATAAGTACGCCACCCTGGCTTAAATACAGTAATTAAAATCATAGGTTAATGTCATTGAGTTATTCTTTAATCGAAACTTAATAATTTTTAATAATTAGATTTACTTATTAAATAACAAAACTTAAACATTGATAAATCCTCTTCTTGCAATATTAAACTGCAATATTAATAACCAGAATAAAAGGTATCACTAACAGTTATTAAAATTATAAGATTTTTTTCATCAAAGTCCTTCTAAACCGAAAGTAGGCCGTATAAAAAATATTTATACACTTAATCTCGGTAACGGTTTGCAAACACTTAAATTATTTAACTTTAAAAATGTAAACTCACAGTTGATCCAATCGGAATACAGAACGGCTTTGAACGGCCCCCAATTACTGTGAACACTCGTTAACAGGACTGTCGCGATAATTGCTCGAATAATAAACATCTTTGATAACCTCTAGTACGTCCACCTTGGACCGCGTACGTACTACGTCTGCCAGCTGCCTCCTCTGTGCATTGCATACAAAACAATCAACTATAATTCGATAGTCAGGCAAGCAGGTTTTATAAGTATTCGGACATTTGAATACGTTCTATATTCATTTATCAACACTACATATTGTTTGCAGTTTTTTCTCTTGCCTTCGATTTCGCGGATCTTCACCAAATTTTAAGAACAGACCCAGAATTTAGATCCAGATCAATTTAACGAGGATCATGTATTTTCCAGAGGTAGGTAGGGCCCCGCCACACTGTTGCACGAATTTCATTTATTTTATTATATTTTTATTTCACACTAAATCTAGACAAGTCATCTAGACAAGTCCCCCCGGGTAAGTACCATGAGCTAACCGAAGACCGCCGTGAAGTTTTCCGGCTTCTGTTTTTCTTTTGGTGAGTAAGGGAGTCGGGGCCCACTTTATGTAAAGGGCAAAGCATCTGCAACCCGACGAGTGTTGCAAATGTCAACGGGCGGCGGTTATCACTTAAAATAAGGTAACCTAACCGAATATATATACTTATATAAATATGAACTCACTGCTGCACCGCTACCAGCCCAAATGATGTACGCGGCGGTGACGGCTCAAAAAGAAAATTAAAAAAACAAAATATGTTAACCAAAAAAAAGAGTACTAACCACGAGTCTGTAGAGTTACTTTGTTAAAATAAAAAAAAGATAAAAAAATATGGTCACCCACCTTCTCTCATAAAAAAAAGAATTAACAGTGGATTATTTAATTTTCCGTACATCTGTTGTGTAAATCGTATTAATTCACTTTCACATTTTTTGGTTGTTTTCTTAACGAAGTGAAATCATTCAGATCTATCTCATAAGAGTAACAGCGGGTATATACTGACTAAAAATATAGGTCGTTGGCTGTCGTATTGTTTTTTACTAGTTGCAAATGTAAGGCAGCGATGAAATAGCACAAAAAAACAAATGACAACTAGTCTCTGTGATAGGAATTCACCTGTTACATTCTACTTTTTATAGGACCTCTTTTAAAATGATTTTAATGTTTCATAAGTAAGAAGTGTAAAAATCTTCACGATTTGGTATTTTTAATTATTTTTTTTAATAGCAATAGACAACAATGGGTCTCGAATTGTCGCACTACACTATAATTATTCATTTTATAAGCTACTAAAAGCGTAAGTATGTACGATGCATAATATATTGTTTAATCTTGTGTGTATGAGATTATTGTGATAAACATTATAATTGATAGTGACGTCATATATACGCAAGTGAAATTAGTTAGTATCTTTGCGACCTATCTTCACTCGGTATTGTTTTCTTATTTATTATAGGTTAGGTAATTCATATTCAGAATGTCATACAGCGTCATATCACAAAGTTTTGACCATCCGTAGACTAATATCCCGAAGCAAGTATCTCGATGCCATCACTTTGTTATTGTGGATTGTTAAATTAAAAAAAAAAAAAGTTTTTCAGGATTATTTATAGATAATATTAAAACGCGAAACTTGATCTAAATAAAAATTTGATTTAAATCGTTAGAACCGTTTCCGAGACATATAAATTTGCAAGAATTGCTCGGTTAAAATTATTAAATTATACAGCGTGTCGTTACCATCGCGACAATAAATGAACACACGTCTAACGCTACTTGCCAATAATCATAAAAAAAATAAACATTAAACAAAATCCATAATTAAAAAAAAATATTTTTCAAACAAACTAATTAAGTAAAAAAGAAACAAAATTTGTAACATCCTATACAACTCGCGCCACAGCGTCGTATTACAAGCCTCTCCTTCTAACAGTATGTTTTGTCTCTTTTAAATTCATTCAACTCATTCATATGCTTTGTGACCTTTACAAATGAACTTTACGTTACGCTTTTATAGGTAAGGGTGTTCTAAAATTCTTTGTTTTGGAAAATTTAATAACTCTGTAAATATTGGTGTTTAAAGAATTTAAATGTTTAATACAACTTTAGAAAGTTATCCCGTATATGTGTGTTTATTTATTGTCGCGATGGTAACGACACGCTGTATAGTCACAGCTGGCACCTATATTTTTTTTAATTTTCGACACCTAAATGTATTGTTCTAACTGTAAGCAAAAAGGCCAAATATTTTTGCAACACTGAATCATAAATTGTAATGGTAACATTAATAAAAATAATATTGCTTTGATATGAAGTCATTACTTGAGTAATAACAATCGAGATACGTATTCTTGAAAGATCGATATGATATTTGGTACCATAGTAAGGAGAAAAATGATATACCATTCGAGAAAATTGGGCGCTCGAATTACTATGAGCTTTCTTTGATATTTTTATAACAGTTACATGTAAGTCATCGGGAGGGAGACATTGCAAATAACCCTTTGTTTTGTTCCGATTTTGTGAAAATAATAGGCAAAATAAACGTATGTACTGATACATGAGATGTATCACTTATTTAGAAATATTGTTTTTTAATTACAAACAACGTAAGATAAATTATACATTTATGATTGTTTTAGGCTCCTTATAAAATAATAGACTTCTAAAATTATAAACCGCAATATTAACCAATTAGATTTAGTAAATTATATCTTATACTATTTACAATTAGAATATTAACAATAACTTCACAATTGACTTGAGTTGCTAAAATGTCTCATAAACTAAGACGTTTTATATAATTATCTCCATACCTTGCACAGAAAGGTTTGCTCCAGCCATCAGTGAGTCGTAATGACGTCATTTTCGAAGTAAAACTTCTATTTGTGCGAATAAAGGGTAAATGCCGCGGAATTAACGATGCGTGTCTATTAACTATTAGGATTTTCTTAATAATCAGTATTGAAAAAAAAAAAACATTTATCATTAATAATTTGTAATAAACATTAGCAAGGAGAAGACTGTAGTATTTTTTGTCTACAACCCGATTGATGAACCGGAAATAACAAAAAGCAATTCGTTTGGGTTAATTTATTAATTTAATCTCTCTATTTGCCAAAAAGCTTTACTTCAAACGTACTTGTTCTGTTACACGCATCGTTTTTTTTCTTGATGACCCGATTGGCGTACTGTATACCGAACCAAACTCTTGCGCCAGAGTAAAAATATTGTGTGTTGTACATACTCGTAGTGTGTATGTCTATAATATGTATTTATTTACAAAAAAGTATGTTTCATAGTACAAGTTTTACTTAGATTGTTATAAAATAACGCTGTGCAAGTACGTCCTGATACATTCATTTATTTCATATGACACCGTATGTCTCCGTGTCGGCGTAAAACGCTCCCGTGGCGTTACCGGGGTTCGTGTATCCGGCTACTGTGACGTCGTTCCTAGCGCATTTTCCCTTGGAGAACATCTTGTACGAGTCGCACCGCCACGCGGTATACCAGCCTGGGTGGCGGACCGTCTCCGCCCACAGCCTGACGCACGCCTTGTGGCTGCACTTCGCCGCTTCGGACGCCCCGTACCCGGGGATCAGACCCTCGTGGCAGCCGGGCTGCTTCCTCCCGTTGTTGACGAAGAAATCCGTGTCAGCGAGCACGCTAGTAGTACCCAGCTCGCCGCCGTTGCAGTGGTAGACCTCGACGTAATTAGCCACGCCCGACCTGATCTGGTCTTCGATGAAGGAATTGGAGAAGCACGGCCCGGCGGGGTCGATGCCCGTGATCCTCCAGATTTTCTGTGAAGTAATACTCGTGTAGACCGTTCCCGCGTATCCTAGCATCTGTGCGCCTAGACTGTGGCCGATGCAGTGGATTTTGTTAGACGGGAACCCTTTATTGTGTATATCTGCCAGAAGCTTCCCTAAAGCTATACCGAGGTGGTACGTATACATCACTGACCTTTCGTAACTGTCCCTTACACCATCTTTAGAAGATGTATAAACTGAATGATCTATAATAATTAAATACGTCTCAAAATCATCGCGAAAGGTCTGTCGTATTTTCTCTTCCGTCTGTTTGTTTATATTTGATTTGTACCCGGGAACGAAGAAGGCCAATTTTCTAGTACTATCTAAATTATTGACGCCTGAGAGACCGTCAACAAATCTATCGATTTTGTAGCTGACGTTTACATTGTTCTTGAAATCGTAGAGGTACACCAAAGTGTCTGTTACATCCAGTACAAGCTCTTTGTTGTGGTTACCTGTTAACATAATAGGGTCGATATTAACTTGGTTATCTGTTTTATTCGGTAACAAAATTACTTTACTGCTATACTAGCTAATTTTAAATTAATGAAGCTGAGGAACATGTTTCAAGATATCAGTATATACGCTTTTACTTAAAATTCGAACAACTCTTTTAGGTTTAAGTTGTTGATACAAAATATGTACAAAATATGTAACATAATGCTATATGTTTTGCCTATACTCTTTTGTTTGAATAAAATAAAGTCATAAAGTAAACACACTTTCAATGCAGTCAATAACACGGTAATATTCTTACAAACTTCTGCAGTCTGTGATGGTTAAATTAGCACATATGTATGCATCAGTTTATACGTTGCAGTATAGAACAGTTCTACTATTGATCGAATCGTGAAAGGGTGATGATTACGTAGGTGTTTATTATGCTTACATGTTATCAAATCCGAGTATAATAGTGCTTGGAATGGACCCCAGTCACTTGAGACGTTCGCAATATACGCCGCGATGATAACTAAATAAAAAGCGTACATATCAGATAACCTCTCTTCTGCCCGTCACATAACAAACTAACACGATTTGGAAGTTTATGAACAATCGCGGTTACGAATCGTTTAACACTATTAACAACGTTTCAGAGTATGCATGATTAACATGAGATACACGTAAGTGTTTCGATTTACGAGAGATTGCGATGTGGGATCTTTGAAAAAACTTCAATTATTTATATATTAGGACTAAAAATTTGTTTGTAATCGTGTTTTACATCTTATGAAATATATAGGAAACAGACGAATTTAAATCCTCAAACCGTTCCGTGTAAAACTATCGAAAAGTAAATAAAATCTTGGTGTTATTTACCTTTACGCCCGAAAATTGCAACTGTGAACGTTAGCCACCAATAAATTAAGTGTATAATAATATATTAAGTTAGAGCCAACCGAGCTTACTTACAAACACAATTGCTTCGATAATTCTGAGTTTATGAGACGTAAATTCTCTCCAAAGACGTAAAGTCTAAATGGTAATGTGGTCAGTGCTGAACTTTTATCTTTGCTACCGCACTTGACATATGGACCAGAAAGATTTCTTGGATATAGATATAGACAAATCAATAGTGCGAAAAAAATTCTATGTATAGTTTATATAGTCGTGTCTGCTCAACAGTTTGGTCAAATATCTCAGCAGTTCTCGTCGATGAATAATGAATCAAGCACATCAATTCGCTTCAGTAATTTCAACATTGTTTGTACAAAAAAGAGGGCAGAATCTTTAGCGGCATCACATCTCACGTATCACATCTCGGTGAACTCATTTCCGCGTTGTAACAGGCACATACCTACGTGAGCAGCTACTTAGTACACGAGCTAAGTTGTAAGTAAGCATAGTACTCATTGTGTATATAACTAAATCATAGTAAATATACTTTCAGAATTACAATCTTCGTTTTTCGAATAAATCGAAGTAATAAACATTACAAATACATTTTTATTAACAAAAAATAGCACCTACTTCAAATATCTCACTCACTACACATTTTCTATTTTGGTGTTCATTTGGTGGAATACCAATGAACCACATGAGAGCCAAACTGAACCCAATGCAAATATAATTTTCAAAATCGGTTCATAAATGACGTAGTTTTTAGGTCACAAACATAATAAATAAATATATAACAACCGAATTGAACCTCCTCCTTTTTGGAAGTCGGTTGAAAAAAAATTAATTATAACACGAAAAGATACTTCTACATGATATTTATAACATCGTTCTTTGCCACTTGCAGCTTATCTTATTTTATTATTTTGAAGCAGGGTAGTAAGTAGAATTTCGGGTATAAACTTAAACACAAGCGATTCTAGTTACAGGCACAAACGTTTAGACAGGAGTTGTATAAGATGCCGTCAGAAGAGCTCTGAAATAATACGAGTACATTATAGCCTGTAAAACTTATGTAAAAGAATTTAATATAAAATTAGACTCTGAACTGGAGGCGGTCAGTAATGATATGAATTATAAACTCATAGAAAACTAGTTAATTGATAAACATCTTACAATTACGGTGTGCTGTGTTTGTAAAAAAATCAATAGACTTCTACAACACTAACCTCTAATACAAAGGAAGAGATAAATTGAAGTGATAAGAGAGTATTCGAGAGGCTTTTCCAAGACAAGATTCTACAGCATTTCTTACCTAACGACTGAGAATGGTCATTATTTACTCTCATATTCGATTTCGATAAAAGTTGGGTTTACGAGTAGGTAAAGGTACCTTGAAAAAACACATATATATATATATAAGTAACATGAAAAGATATATTAAATGTTAGCTTACATATTAGATATCTTATGTATACCGTGCAAAGGCTCTATGTAAAGGTAAAAGCAGAGCCGATGTTTTTGTTATAATAAAATTGTAATGAAGAAATATGATATTAAAATTTAAACCAATCTTATATAAACAAATGAAGAAGCCTACAAACTTTCTCCATTCTAAATCATTTAGCGGTATCAGGAGGAACAAAACAAGAAAAACAAATTAACCATAACAATCTTAGTCGATTGAATACTTAATAGTGTGATTTCCGTACTCGCCTGACAGGAAGCAAAGGTAAATGTTTATATATCAAGCCGTTCTGAGATCGTGAAAAGTGATACTTTTGTGGTAGAGCTGGTACGCTCGGACATAGCTAGTGATTGCAGTTGATACCCCCAATTCTTTCTGATATTGTCCGGAGGTTTCGCTTTTTCGTGCCAGAAGTAAGCTGAAGCGATATTTCAGCTTCTCGATTTCTTTTTAGTGTGGTTCCCTTAAGGGTGATATTCTGCCATAATGGCGGGAAGCATTCCCGTGACATACTCTGTATTGAAGTCAGTTAAATGTTGACACGTGGCTCAGGATCGTGGCTAACAGACTGAAATAAAGATATTGATGGTGATAAAATAAAAAAGAATTTTAGATGGCCAGTTTTTTTAACACAGGCTACCATAGTGAAATGCTTTCTTTTTTCTTTCAAAAGGTATTAAAGTTGAAAGTGTTAAACGTTGTCAAGGGAGCAGACGGTTTGACCAGCTTAAAACTATATATACGATGATACTCTATACTTTATATATGGAAATTTATTTTAATAACGACGAGTCGCTATGATAATATTGCTAACACGCCGGCAATATTACGGCTTGTATTATAAATTTACTCGTCTTGAAATGGAACCCTAACAATAACAGAAACAAGAATTATAGACGTTAACAAAAGCCTACGTTAATCTGAATAATAACAATTTTCATTTAATTAATTCATAAACTCGTTTCAGAACGTGTTTAATGCCATAAGTCTTTCGGATGAAGCTTTATATCCTAACGGACTTAAAATAAGTTTTTGTCACCCTTCCGCCTGCGTTTCAGTTAGCTTTGTGTACTCATGGTTATCGCAGCTCAGACTTCTTATAACTCAAGTAACTATAATTATCATTTTTATAAGAAGACGGACAATCTAACGCAACGACACGTTTACCTGCAAATAAAAGTAACAAATTAAATCAAATGAATAAAGATTAAAATATGTAAACGTTAAAAGTATGTTACTGAAAACGAGAAAAAGTTTTTCGAAGACGTTAAAAACTCACAGAATAGTCACCCTTTCCCCTAAAATGATTCATATGCATTATTTAGAGGCAGACATAAAATTCGTGCACGTTGTTAGGTGGGTGCCGCCTCGTAGGGGGCGATTACAATGAATACACGTTGATTACCACGTCCTTACGTACAAGAAGTAAATTATGTAAAATGTTCTAGACACCTCAAGGGGCAAAGTCAGGTCTAGGGTAGACTTGTAATATACATGCGATACAATTTGGAGCTGATAGTTGACATTACACACAATTCATAAGTGATATTACACACATTTTGGGGTAATAAATCTTACAACTTATTAGCTTATTTGTTGAATGCTTTTTAGACTAAATTATATTCCTAGAAGCCAGAACACATAGTAAGCGTCTCTTCCTTGTAGATCGCTGAGGTTTTCCCCATTTATTATGAGTTCGGAAGCCCTAGGCACTATTTTGGAAAAATGGAATATGGTGGAAAGTGAAATATGTCAACAATTTGTAGGCACGACACCGTTTCCAGTAGAAATATTTATAACTATGCACTTCGCCCCTGAGTGGAGCCCACCATACTTAAGCAAACATTCTTATAGCAGCAAAGTACGATCCTTATAGCAGCAATGTCTGTGATACTAACAGTTGACTTGAATGGTTCGTGCCGCCTAAGGAAAACCTCATATTGTCACAACTCGCTAATACGCTAGTCTTTTTTTTTAAATTATCTTTTTCCTCGAACTTGATATTCTCAATATCTCTACCTGAGCTACATAAATGACGTACATTACATATGTCACAATGGCAGTATTTGACGCCCTTATTCCAGCGAGACGGGGATTCTGCTCTAATGTTCGACGTTACAAAAACCTTCCCTGCTTCCGTGACGCGTCGTTGCATTAATCCTTGTGCCGCTTACGACCGTACGACGTGATTCACGTATCTTCATTTTTAGGTTTCATTTTTTAATAAAGTCCAGTACACATAACCCTACGTTAGTTAAATATTTTTTAGCTATTGTCCCTTAATGAGTTGGCTAAACTTCTTGTCTGATGATAACCGTAATGGTAGTAGTCTTTTGAGACGTATACGACGAATACTTGTATATACGTTATTTATCTATGATTGAATCATAAATATTTAGCATTTTTTTAAACTATAATATCTCATGAACTTACAGTCATGTTTTAATAAAGATGCATGTCCATACTGCGTGGCGTTTAAAAATTGTTCAACTTTACATTATTATATTATAGTATATCATTACTAGCGGAACTGACAGAAGTTGTTCTGTACACATGTCTTAAATCTGAAATCTTAAAAATTTTTGAATAAGTTTGTAAATCTAAACCATCCTCGAATACACCTGAAGACACAAAAAATGTCATTGAAATCGGTCCAGCCGTT